TGATTAAATTTTTTAACGAGAGTGAGGAGTAACTATTTAGCCAAGTCCTTGTAACATTTGATATACATAGCATATGTAAAAGTGACTAAAAACATACATTTATTTCCCTTACCCCCATCTTAATTAGCCCAAAATAGGATATTTTATGTCAAAATTTTAAAGCACTATAAAAAAAAATTTTTTTCTGAGAAACTATATGATATACTGATTCAGAAAAACCAAAAATTAATTTTCCTCTACTTTTTTCCCGCTAATTTCCTACTGCATCCAGGCTAGTATCCTAGTTTGAAGAAGAGTGAGTGTGAAAATGTTTTTAAACACAAAACAATGCTATCTTACAATGTTGGTTTATCAGCCCAAGTTCATGCATGATCTTTTTGCATTCATTTTTGTGTTATCTTTACCTTGAGAAATGTCACTTTCATTTAAAAACACGATCGTTAGCTGGATTCACACAAACTGTTTGCTTCAAAACTGCCCATGCATGTCCATGCGCATGCCCAGAACGATCTACTGCATCTGGATTATCCTCTCACTACATGTACTTCTCTTGACAGCGAAGTTACAATCGTGTTTGTGTTTAAAGAATTAGGCCTAGGCAATAGGCCCTATGTTAAATTTGGTTGTTTTTTTTTTTAAATAAACAAGTTTTTAATATGATAATACTACTTTAAAATGAAGACAAGTAAGTTTAGACAAGTGTTAGTCAATCTAGGCAGCCTACATGGTACCATGATGCTTAACCCTCATCCTGGGGAGAACACTGCCCACGCGTACGCTATGGGGTGTCGTACGCAGCAAAGGTCAATGTTAAAGTCAATGTCTAATTTATCAAAACGTAGGCGTAAATTTCTGAAAATGTAGATCTAGTTTCCAAAAATGACGTTCTAATTTTTCAAAACGTAGTTCAAATTTTCAAAAAAAGATGATGATGATCCTTACAATAACAAGAGGTGATACGCTCGAGAAGCGGATGAAAGAAGAACCTGACAATAACAAGAGGTGATCTGCTTGTGAAGCGGATCACCAATAATAATAATAAAATCATATTTAGGACAATATTGTGTTTACTTACCAACTCATTTCAAACAACGTCTTCACATCATCTTCCAATGTTTGAAGACACTTGAAAGCATCACGTTTCATGGAACTAAAACCAAAATAATAGAACACCACAGAAAATAAAATACGATTGACATTTACAATAATAATACATTAATTTTAGTTTCAATTCATTCAACGACCATCAGAATAAGTAAAATATTGCCTGAAAATTACAAAACAAATACATCACAATACTTAAAATCAAAGAGAAAATTCAAACAATAACACTGAGTATTGAAATTCGCTAGTAAACTGCTTTTACACATTAATAACAGATGTCAATATTTGGGCTATTACAGTAGGCCAGCTTGGTTAATATATAATTTCAATGTCATTAAAATCAAGAACACCAAGAAGACATGATCTAGAATACTCTGGCAATCAAAGGTAGATTCAATTTTTTTTTTGTTCTGTTAAACTAGATATCACACTTAAGTGATAATATTTTTATTATTAATTTTGCTTTTTCTATTTACTGAAGTGCAAAAACACTGAGGAACCGCATGCGACCCGACAGCAAATTCTTTGCGGCCTGCAAAAATGAATTAAAAACAAGCAACATTGGCTAGAAAACACCTAGTTTTCTTATGGCCCCCACACCGACCATATGTTAAAAGTAACATTAAAACTGAGAAAAAAGTGGTGCAAAAGCAGTGCTTGGAGATTTTTGGAAGCTCACATGAAACATGGAAGTTTGGGTGCGGGGTGTTAAATCAAAAATTCACTTTGGCCCTCCGACCAATTTTTATGCCCACACCTGTTCTAGTTGATAATTTATACATACTGTAATCCCTCCCTTCACTTTAACGTACTTACATTTCGCATGGCAGTTGATAGAAGCTGTTAAGTCCTTTCAGATGATCTAAAAACCCCTTGAAGTTGCTCTGCCTCAGGCAATCACACATTTCAGGGCAACTCTAAACATTTACAAATGAAATAATTAAAGTTTACACAATATCATTTCCAATTTGTTCTATCTTTAATTTAATTTCTTAGCTTTACAAATTTTCACAGAAAAAATACCTGTTTAGCATAATATTTATAAAATATATTTGAATAGGTGATTGTTTTTTTCAACAAAAATAGGCTGAGAAAATGGAGGTAAAACCAAGAATAGGATAAAGGACGAGAATGGAGACATGCTCCATATCCATATCTGTACAAGATGAAAAGATTATTGTACTAAACACTAAGGAAGGAAATAACAGAAGAACCAGAAATTATGGTATGTGAAATTTAAGCAGCAATCAATAAACACAAGGTTTTTCGTAAGCATTTGGACACAGCCGTTTTATAGCGACATAAAGTCATGCGCCCTCTGTTGCATAAAAGTACAGAATTAGTACACGCGAGTGTTAAAATACAAAACCAGAAGTAAAGAATTCATCAGTTTTTGTTTACGGCCAATAAATCATCTATCATTTGCCAACAAATTAGAAGACAAAAACAACTTTTAAAATCATGAACATATATGAGGAGGGTCACAATGGAATTCGTATTTGAATAAAATATCCCAGATAAGCAATGACACTTTGGATATCGAAATATTGTTTAATTTCTAGGACACTAGACCACTAGAGTTGAGACCACTAGAAACCTCTAAATAGAGACCACAGACTAGAAGCAAGGCAATTCAACAAGACGCACATCTCGGGACATCGAAGGTTGTAACTCTGCCATCGACATTCTAGGCGCTGCGCGTCCCTACACGCTGAATGTCACCAAAACTATAGCAACCAGACGTCAGCGTGTGACAAATTACCCTCGCGCATGTTAGTTACCATGATAATCAAGCGTCGTGTGATGATTACAAAGGCTTAATGATATCTTGCACTAACATTAGACTGAAATTATATTCTTCATTTCAACATTAATTTTACTAATGTTGTGGTGTATTGTCGTTCATGAGACTCACTTCGCAGAAAAAATTAATAAATTTTCTGTATCTACTCAAATGCTAGTTTTGTGCAACTTAGTCCAACATTGTCAAAATGACAGTTTAATGTTACATAAGAACATGAAATTATATAAAATTCGTCAATTTTCTTAAAAAGTGTGTCAAAATGCTAAGGAAAATAAACAGCTTCATTTTAGATATTTGGTATTTGAAATATCACTCTTTTTCCTGTGTAGCCCTACCTCTATTCTAAAGTGTATTTTCTTTTTATATGCTCTAATAAAGTATTTTGTCTTATGGAATGCATATATGTCTGATCTTTGATTTTAGTTACCTTGACTTATATTTTTCACATCTCTAAAATTGTAGGGTCTTTGATTATGGTCTAAAGCCGGGCACGCACTGCGTTGCATTGTATGACCATCGCACGATTAATCCAACTCCGCTCTCTGTGAGGGATAGATGACGCAACGCTGTCTGCTAATTGTCGGTGGCAGTCTGAGCTAATCATCATTAAAAACAATCCATTGTGCGCGTTGCTTCGTCTATCACTCACAGTGTGCAGAGTTGAATTTATCGTACAACACATTGAGTGCCCGGCATTACTTGCCAGAATATATTATTCTTGTGTTATTAAAATAAGAAAAGGTGTTTCTTCTATGTATGATAGCTGCGGCTGTAATACTTTGCATTGGTAAGGTGGAGATGCCACCTCAAGTGAAACTTAAGGTGGCAAAAAGTAATACAAAAAGTAATTCATAAATTATTGTTTTTCATCATTATATTATAACTGCATAATATACAAAAACAAAAAATATAAAATATCAATGGGAAGCATTGTTTATGGCGACTGCAACGAAAAATGATTCCCACATCATTAATGGAACAGGCCTTCATCATGCTTGGCTGATTAGTTATGATTTACAGTCTAGTGCCATACCCAGCAAAAGTCCATGTCTAGTGGTGTTGTAAAATGCATTTGAAACCAGGCTGGTTTTTTATATACGTTTTGGAATACAATTTGGAGAGTACGTTTCATCAAGTTAAACCTACGTTTTGAATTTGAATTACATTTTAAAGAAATCAGAACTACATTTTGGGAAATTTGAATTACGTTTTGAAAAATTAGAACTTCATTTTGGGAAACTAGATCTACATTTTGAGAAACTTTTGATAAATTGGACATTGAATTTTGCAATTACATTTTGATTTTAACATGGACTGCGTATGACACCCTGTAGATAACTACCAATGTTGTGGTGTATTGATGTTCATGAGACTCACTTCGCAGAAAAAATTAATAAATTTTCTGTATCTACTCAAATGCTCGTTTTGTGCACCTTAGTCTAACATTGTCAAAATGACAGTTTAATGTTACATAAGAACATGAAATTTTATAAAATTCGTCAATTTTCTTAAAAAGTGTGTCAAAATGCTAAGGAAAATAAACCGCTTCATTTTAGATATTTGGTATTTGAAATGGGAAATTTAAATTAGATCTACATTTTGAGAAACTTACGCCTACGTTTTGATAAATTGACATTGAATTTTGCAATTACATTTTGATTTTAACATGGACTGCGTATGGCACCCTGTAGATAACTAACTGGATGGTTGATACATGGATGATGGATTGATGAAAAAAAAAACAACCACCAACTAAATTTACCACAGCTTCATCTTGCCGGAATATCTTGACATCCTCTACCAGGCCACTGTTTTCCAGTATAATTTCAACATAGAATACATCAGAGCTGATAAATATCTCCTTTAGGCTATGGCCTGTGTGAAACTTCATCCTATATTCAAATCAAACATTCTAAACAATTATAATAATAATAATGAACATTTCTTGTATGCCAGTATCTAACAAACTTATCTCAGATTGCAGTGTGCAAGATGCAAGGTACAACAAGAAATATTTCCCATAAAAACCTCCACAACATATTTAAGTTATGACTGGTTTGTATTTCCAAACTGAATAAATTAATGTATACTTGAGAATGATCTATATCATCTCTGTCTCTTATACACATCTAGATGTGTATAAGAGACAGACCTATAGGTGCCCGGAAATCGCTCTCTAATACCTTTAAAATCTTACCGGTAATTCATATCAACAATAGGCCTACAATTCAACAATTATTTTTCTTATTACAATTTAGGGGGTGCGATCGCACCGTCTCATCCGCCTCAGCTAATAAACACATATTACAATCGTATAAAGTAGAGACTAGTGAATTTAAGCCTTTCACCCCAACACCTTTAAGCGCCTTTGTTTCTATAGCTGCCAACACTGGCGGCAACGCACCTCGTTTCTATCGTATTTTGTCATTGTCGGTTGTAACCTATTATTTGTCTAAGCTTCATAGTAAATTATTATTATCATATCTGAAACATTATTTATTATCTAAAAAGAATCAAATTAAATATGTTCGCCTTAACTACCGATTGCATCGCCCGTGACTTCCGTCAACAAACACATGTGAGCAATTTTTTTTCTGCACGCTGCTAACTTGTTGCATGCATGCAAGCAATGCAAGGTTTAAAAAAAATTAATGTTGGTGGCGCACTTCACATCTTGTGCTCAAGATGACAAAAACGATCGTTTTTCGTCGATTATAGGCATTTTTAGTCCATTTTCATAATTAAAAAATAAATAAATAAATTTAATAAAATTTGTATTAGTTTTTGTAGATCAGTTTAGTCTAGTTTTAGTTAATACTAGGCTAATTACAAGATATTTTGTATAGATATTTCAACTAGCAATCATTTTTTTTAATTTGCTGGTTTGTGAATTTTTACCTAGCAATTATGACAAACCTACTAGCAAATTGCTAGTTTGCTAGCGTAAATTTCGAGCCCTGTCACAGGATTAAAATAATTTAAAAAAACATACTAAACAGTACTCCACATTAGAAATGTAGAAAATGTGATATATGATTTGATGTAGGCCTGGACCTACCATAGAATTTCTTTAGCTGTGTTCTTACCATCATAGTTACCAACTGTCTCGCATCATGAGGGACGGTCTTGCATTTCAAAGTGATTTTGGATGAAACACACATTTAGCACAAGTCTATGCGTGATAACGAATTATCACAAATTCACAAAATTGTTTTATTAACTTTATAAAAACGGTAATGCAGTAACTTCAGTCATTAGAGAGCTTTCGTTATCTCATTCGAGAATCAATTCACCGACAAAATTTCCCTTTCTCAACCAAAACCCAGCCAACCACGCACTTAGTAGAATCTAGGGGGCGCGTGCAGTCTTGCACATTAATTGTCACAACCAACTGAAATTCGGACCATACCGGGGCTGCACCCCTGGACACCGGCGGGGGCCCTAGCGGCGCTTTGCCCCCTCTCAACAGGTGGAGTCATGCATTTCAAATCTCTCAGGTTGATAACTCTATACCACTACTATTATTATTTTATTATCATTATTATTATTAATTCTCTCGCAAATTCTCATAATTTTCAATTTTCATAGCTATGCATGATTGCATTAGCTTGAGTTGCGCATGCTTAATTGTTGCATAAGAAAGTTTGACTTTTCCCATTTCTATTTCATACCCTCCTCACAGACGCTGTTTGGTTCCTGAGATGCCTTTTTGGTAACTGCGCGTACTTGACATGGCTCGACGTCACTTATCTCAATGCACATGCTCACTTGCTGTCTAGCAGTGGCGTAGCCAAGGGGGACCAGAGGGTAGGGAAACCCCCCCCCAGGCTACCCCCTGCCCTAATTTCACTTGCTTTATACATTATTATTTGAGAGCAAACGCAATCACCCCATGCAATGACATGTCATGGGGTGATCGCGCTCATGGACGCATTATGGACTTGTTTCGTTAGTTTTTCACAAACTACCAAACGATAAAAGTGGTCTCTACAATCGAGAATTGCCTTTACTACTTAAAAATTATAAACAACATGGGCCAAACTATGCTTTAAACAATAGAGGAATTTCAAGAAAATTTGGGAAACAATAACAAGTTGATTGGTCAAATAGGTAATATAACTACACAAAAGCGAATGTGACACCTAATCATGGGACTTTGAGTAAACCAGGTACAACGGAATAATTAAATGATAGGTCAATAAGATAAACAAAGGCAACAAAGCGGTTGAATACAAATATACCCAGGAGATATGACACTGATATGATTTGAGGACCCATGTTTGTGTCTCGCCGCACTACTTGTTTAAAACGTAAGAATTTTAGCCGGTGGCTATCTGTCATTAAAAATATTGTCACGTTCATATATGGGTAAATTCAAATTACATCAGGTGCGCGGTGACAACAAACTTGCAGAAAGAAATAATTTTACATTAATAAACAGTAAAATATGAGGAAATGTGCGAGGGACTCGTACGTACAACAGAAAATTGAACGCGAATTCCCTGTTTTGGAATTCATCTGGAATTATAGTTCTTTCCTTCACTATTATGCGTGGTTCTTGAAACTTTCATGTAAAACAGAGAATCAACACAATACGTCCTAATGCACAACCAACAGGCGCAAAAATAAAATTGTAAGATGTTAAAATAGATGTGGATTATGATAATTATTGTTGTTATTATATCATCATCACTATATATATTATTATAAATGCTGTAATTTATGTAAGTCCCCATGTACACTTTTTTTATAGGAAGCAGTAACATTTTGCCCAGGCTCAGTGTTCTTATTTCTTTGCCGATTTCAGGCTCAAAATGTTCTTACGTTGTTCTTATTTTTACACACTTTTCAAACACCAAAAAATATTATATTACAGTAGTATATTACTGTACTGTAATAAAAAGGGTATTGTATAGTATTATATTACAACTATCTCACATAAGGTACAGATAAAATTTGTTGGTTGTTCTATTTTTAAAAAGTACAATCCTGTTCCTAGTTATTCATGTTTCTGAAATTTATGAAACTGTAATTCGTATTATACAATAGTTTCATCATGGTTTAAAATGTTCTGTATATTCAATAAACTGCTATAAAACAATATAATGTCCATTTTTATTCTTTAATTCTATAGAAAGTTCATATGATTTATACATTATTATTATTTGAGAGCAAACAGGGTGAGGTCACATAAGATAGCCATTTATATAGCCATATTGTAAGACCGTGGGCCCTTCATAGCCCCAGCATTTGGTTCCTCACTTCGATCAGAACACTTGTCCCCCCACATGATATCACAGACCCACACAGGGGGCCTCACAACAGAAATATTCTGGCTACGCCACTGCTGTCTAGCATTTCCAAGCGCATGCTCACTGTGTTTTTGCGCCGCATCTTTAGGCTGTAACGATCAAGAGAAAATAGTCATTAAGAAACTGTAGGTAGCGGTAGCTTTTACTACAAAGAAATGGGAATTCCGAACTAAGCAATGCGGATGTGCTACCAAATAACGTCCGTGAATTATTTATAAAAAATACAGTGAGCATGCGCTTGGAAATGCTAGACAGCCAGTGAGCATGTGCATTGAAAAAGTGATGTTATCAAGCCATGTCGAGCATGCGCAGTTACCAAAAAAATCATCTTAGGAATCAAACAGCGGCTGCGAAGAGGGTATGAAATAGAAACGGGAAAACTATATGTAATATATTTATTGGGGAAGAGTGAAATGATGCAACACAGCAAGAGAAAAAGATTGATTTGGCATCGACATCCTGAAACATTTGTCCAGCAGTGGACCGGCAATAGCTGATGATGAAGCCTCTGAAGATTATCAACATGGTCGAGCCTTGATTAGTTGACAGCTTAATTAATAATAATAATAATAATTCCATACTTCTATAAGCGCATTCCACAAAAAGCCTCAATGCGCTTTAAAAAAAAGAAAACAAGCAGTGAATAAATTTTGACTTAAACTACCATTTTGAATTAATCTACAATATGGGATTACAACCCAGACAAACCCAGCCGTAGGAAGAATCTTAGATGACCCCACCCTTTGATAATTCCATATTCGTTTTATCATTTTAACATCAATTTTAATTTTAAAATAATCTTTAATTTATATACAGTATTATGCATATTGCAGTAAAAAATTAGGCCTATCCTAGAACAATAAACATAGGACTATATTACTGATTTATAGGAAAATACAGTTACAGATTTATTGAAACAGCAACTTAAATAAGATAACAAAATTTACACATAGCATAAATTTGGAAGTAGCTGTATGTTACACAAATTGAATAAGCTACAAAGTTGCGGCATTTTTATTATAGGAAATATTTCTTGTTACACATATTTCATGGACGTTCTTTGCTACCTGATTTTGTGCATGCATTAGTCTGGAATTCCGATTCTTCTGTAGTAAAAGCTACCGCTACCTACAGTTTCTTAAGGACTGTTTCCTCTTTTCGTAGCAGCCTAAAGGTGCAGCGCGGAACCAATCTCATTAAAGAATGTGCACTATATTTATTGCTTATGATTGCATCAGCGATGTAAACAGTTCAGTAAATCAAATTAATTAATGCTTTTATTTAACTAATTATGGGATGAATTAAAATATATTATCATTAGAGTTCATGGCATTGGTGGGCGAGATAAAAAATAAAGAAGAATGCGGTGGGTTCGCAAAACAATTACCCTGCCCACCTCGAACGCTCGACTCGCGAGAGCATTCCAGCTGATAATATCTTATTGGTTTTCATCAAGGTTTAGAGTAGGAGGAGATTGAGTAAAAGTTAGAGGAGAGTTCCCTGGGCTGGCTTAAACCCGATTGGGTTATAAAAGTAGGCGGCGAAAAAGGAGTAGTAAACGGTCAAAGTCGCCGGCTACTATTAATTATAACCACTTCAACCATGAAGGCATTGTGATACATTAATAATTAGATGCCTTATCAATAATGAATACCTCTGACATAATTTTTTGACAAAATTCAATATAAATGGGGAATAAAAAGTAAATGAGCTTTAAATTTTGAGTGCCATTTTCAGCCATCGACATAAAAATATCCGACACATTCCCCAACATGGTGGGGGCCAGTAACGTAGGGATGGGCAGTGGAGCAGGTACAAAGCACTGGGGCCCAGGTAGTCATACATACGCCCAAAAATAATAGTTGAATATAATTTCCACTGAATATTTTTGAAGAAAAATACAGCCAGCGAACCTTCTCAATAATAATAATAATTTTGGGAGGATGTTTACATTTTCAGGAAATTCTAGGAACTACACTTTTTCATCAGTAGCACACTTCTCAATACAGTAGAAGTTTAATTTAAGTCTGACGCCCGTAATCTTAAAACAAACTTTAGTCAAACTTCGAACTACTGTAGAACTTCATTTAGTGCTAGTTGCATCTTTAACTTCAATTTGTATTCACAAACAATGTAGTTGAAGTTTTAACTACGACTAAATCAAGTCTTAGTTTTAATTCAACTGAAGACGACTGGCAAGCCACGACTATCAAACTAATCAATGAAAAGGGCTAACTTTAATAGCAGACGAAATTTTAGAGATCCGGTAACGCAGATGAATATTCTGTGGTTCAAAAACTTATTTCCTCATAATTCATAATAGACCATCATTCCATATTTAATTTTCTAAAATAATAACTATATTAGTTGTTAACATATTACAATAGAGAATTTGAACAGACACTGAAAATTTGCTTTCTTTGGAGAAAGCCCGAGCAAGGGCGGCGCCATCTTTGTTTTGTTATTGTGAAGCTACGTGATCGCAACTCGAGGGGATTTCGTGAATGTGGCTAGCAAAACATGTTAATTTCTCCTTCTGGAAGTCAAACTTGATGTCTCTTTTGTTTAACACACCGAAGATATATCAACCCTGCATATACAATCGTTTTTATTCGTTTCATTTTATCGTGAGTTACAAAAACACATTTTTAGTGGGGTAAATATTTCAGACGATTTAGCCTGACCCTAAGCTGACTAAAAAAATCGGCCTGCGGAGGTATTATTTTAGTCGAGGTTCACGTCATTTAGTCGTAGTGCTAGTCGAAGTTCGTTTTAAGAATACGAAATGACGTAATTTTAAAGTTTTAGCTCGAACTACGACTAAAGTTTGTTTTAAGAATACCGGGGTTAGACTAAATATACATTTCAAAAGGAACATCAAAAGTATAGTATATAAAAAGTAAAAATAATTTCATAGTTTCATGTAAGATAAGTATCTTAAATGTGATCTTAAACTAAAAACTTAAAGCAAAAAATAAATAAATAAATAACAATAATGTAGGCTAACACACATGTACAAACACAGTAAAAATGCACAATAATGTAGGCTAACACACGTGCAAGCAGTAAAAATACACAAACATATACAAGAAATACACATACATCAGTACTTATCCATACAAAACCACAAACCCGACGCATACACACACATAGATACTGACACACAAAAATCCACGAACCATAACACACAAATACACAGAAAAAAGTAAATCAAATCTAATGTAAAAGTCATAGAAAGTAATATGTTAAAAATGTTCATTTGCTTTTTTGATCTCATTTCTCCTTTTCTATGACCTTGCAGCATACCCTTTAACATAAACTTTAAATTTTTTTTTTACCAACTTGATATTCGTTTTTCAGATAAATATTTTTCTAGGCATTTCTTAATAATTGAATACTCTGAAAGGGAAGATTTTTTTTATCAAGATTACCTCTCAAATCTGTAAAGTTTATTTATTACAATGGAGTAATCAATGGTATCACAAATTAATTTAAATACATTTTCTGATTCACATTTTGGAAAAAACATTGGAAAAACAAGGAATATAAAATTAAATAAAATCAAATAAATCAAAACATTCTATTATAAAAAAAAAACTGGAGTTACACAATACCCTGCTTGTTTAGCATGAGATTTCAATCGCTCAACCATGGCTGGCAAAGACATTGAACCTGTAAACAAGAAAACACACAAACAAAACAACTATCAATTATATTCAATCAAGTATATTCCGTATAGTACAAATCTAAATGGTTGCTAATTTATTTTCCAATAAGTGTGTTAAATTATTAAGGTAAAAACTCTAGACTCAAGCCTAACAGAAAATATTATCGCACTTGCGGGCAGGAGATGGCAATCAGATTTACCAACCTTTAGTTGTCGTGGTAACTAGTGTAAATTTCCTGACAAGTAAAATATTAATTATGTTTGGGGTCTGGCTCCTTTGGAGAGACTACTTAAACATAGAAAGCAATTATCTTATGTATCTTTCAGGAGCAAATTTAAGTGGGGGATTAACATGCTTCAGCACCACACCCCCTTAGATTACTATTACATGCATGTTTTTGTCATCTTGCAATTAACACTGTAAAGCTACGTTCACATCAAGCCCGGATTCCGGTCAGGAGTCCGGACCGGAATCCGGGCCCGGTTACGATTTCCGGTTGTGCGTTCACATCGCGTCCGGGGAACAAAGCATCGGGGGTCAAAGGAAGCAACCAAGTGGAACGACGTCAACACAAGGGCAACCGCCTAC